TTATAATTTTATTATAACCCTATTACATAATATAAAATATAGAATATTTATACGGATAGGTGTGAAATATTAATGCTTGTTTTCTTGCGTTTTACAACTTTCACCTTTCGAGTCTTTCTTTTTGAATTTTGATACAATAAGCTTCTATTGTTGATTTCGTTTGCATTTGCTAAGCATCTTCCAGGAAATACACCCTGCAATTGCCTAGCTCGTGCCTGTTTAAGTTGTATCCTCTCCTTAGTTGGCTCATCAACTCCTCGCATCAGAAATTAAACCTGCTCCTACTTCTAATAATTTGCTTTGCTTGGCCCAAGTTGGTTATCAGTGTCCAACTTTACCTATTTCTTCTGCTAATCCTGGATGTAAGTACACTATCTATCCATATCTTCAAGATTCTGTTTATTTTTTGTTGATATATATCTCAGTGTTTCTTATGGAGTAATTCATGATCATATTGTTCGATTTAGTTTATGTTTTCTTCGTTTTTTTTCAAATTCTCATTTTAATTGATCCTCTATTTGACGTCTTTGTCTCCTTTTTAATTTTTTATTTTTTTATGGTCACTAATCACTTCAAATAAATTAATATAGAAGTATTTATCTCCTATTTAATGATCATATCTGAATCACGTTTTTCTTTCAGGAAATATCCATGAACCTCTCTTATAAGAAAGAGTAGGCTTGCGATTGCAATCAAGCAGATCTGTTGGATGCTCCTTTCTAATTTTCTGGGCTTAATTTGTTTCTTAATATCTAATTTCTTCAAAACCCTCTTCTAGACCTACAGGTACGCAATTCCGTCAGTTATGTTCGCTTTGAAGTATAACATAAAAAAGCATGTAGCTTTTTATATCCAAAGAAATAAATAAGTCTCTTAGATGTAAGTCTCATGCCCGAGATTTTTACTCATTGTTTTTGGAGTTACTACTTTGAAAACTTTGTTCTACTTAAATCGAATTAACTAAAACATTTTCTTAAATAGAAATTTCATTTAAACGGCATATATAGTTTTAAGATAGTCTTTCGTTTAAATCTTTTTCTCATCTGATTCTCATTTTTAATTTTTTTTTTTTAAATTGTTAGATTCCTCCTTGTACTATTGTTCGATTTTCCCTAATTGAATTGTGGCTAGTTAATTGATAATCTTGTGAGGTCTCCTTTCTTTTAGGCACCTCAAGTAAATTAATATAAAAGTGTATGCCTCGGAGTGAGAATCATGTTTTTTCTTCCAGAAAATATTCATCAGTCAACCTCTCTTTATCATATTCATAACGAATAGGCTTGCAATTGCAGTCAAGAAGATCTGCTGTTTGCTACATCTAATCTGCTTGGCCCAATTTGGTTCTGTGTCCAATTTCTTGGATACCTTCTTTTTCTTCTAGACCTGCAGGTACACAATTCATTCTGCTATATTTTCTTTTTGAGGTATAAAACAAAAGTAAAAATATTTTTTCAGCATTGATTGCATAAAAATGGTATCGATTAAGTATTGAAATTATCAAAACACCATTACCGAAACTCTATATCATATTAATTCATTGGTAATGTTTTAATAGTGTAGTTCATATTAAAAAGATAAAGCTAAATTCATCAAATAGAAACGTATAAAATACAAATACAGCCTAAGAAATAATTTATGCATCTTAACATCTAGACAGACGTTCTCTATCGTAACTCATCTACTTTTAATAAACATTTAATCGTCTCATGGTAAAAGACATTTTTTTAAATATATATATATATATATATAAATAAGTTATTTTTTATATATTTTAAAAACATTTTCTTATTATAACTATATAACTCAAATTTAGAATCTTTCCTTTTCATTAAGAAAAAATTATTATTAAATTAAGTTGTTAATTATTATTTTTTATTTTAATTATTCATTTTTTCATTAAGAAAAGTCCTGCAACACATATTAATGAGAGTCAAAACTTTTATAATTTTACCTTCCAAGGAATTTTAATTTTAATTTTTTTAATTAAGGAGTTGAAACTTCTCAAATTTACCATGCAAGGGGTTATTGGACGAAGATATAAAGTGGCTCAACGTACACAGTTAATGGGGGCATCACTTTGCTGACATGGATAAAATCTCTAAAAATATGCTGAGATGGACAACCCAAGGCAAAATAATTTAAAAAATAATTTAAGAACAATTGTTTTATGTCATGTTTGGGTATAACTTTATGTTTCATTTAAATTAAGGATTTTTTAACTTGTAAGCCTCATTTATTATAGTTTTTATAATTAATTTTATACAAATTTTTATATAAGGTT